AATGATATTGTACTTGCTTTACATGATATTTCAATTGTTATGTTTGGTGTAAATAATAAATTAAATGAGTTTCTGGGGTGTGATAAATAACCATTACTAAATACACGACACTAATCAGACTGAAGATGTTTATATAAGCTTTTTTAAATTTCGGAGTAAATTTAATGAGAATGGCATCACTATTTCTGTTCAACGAACAGATTATAGTATTTGTTGATTTTCCGAAATGCACTATGTCATCTCCCTTCGTAGAACCTTGCATCTACATTATCTCTTGTTTATAATTTTGTATTGCTGTTTGTCTGTCGATCCCTCGGTCTGTCCGATGGTATAAAAAAGGCAACATTTGACATAAACACAAGGACAACCTTTCAAGGCCAAACCTAACTACACAAAAATTAAGAATAAAATACACTTAAGTTTTAAGGCATTCAGACGATCCTATTTTCAATTTTTAAACGAAATTGCGTCTCATATTTTTAGTTTTAAGTGAGCGAAATCTGGTCCAATTAAGTACGAAATTAACATAATTACGCCGGTAGAGTGTATATGCAAACGTTAAATGACGCTAACTAAAACAAATCGCTTCTTAGACGGTAAACAGAAACGAGTAATTGTAGATCACTTCGAGATAATTTAGTTATAGTTAATTAATTTTACGCATCAAACAGAAATGCGGTTAACATAAACAAATAGTAGGTTTCTAGGGCTTAGTATACCCTTTACGCGTATGAGCGACGCGGCGTCGTAGCTCGACGTCCCAAAATAAACCTATAAATAATATAATCTTTGTGCATAAATCGTTTGAGGTAATTACGAAAAATAATATTATGCTAATACGAGGGAGTGATCTCAATCTTAAAATTTAACCTCGTTTCTACTTGCATATTAATATGCTCGTACATTCCAAGCGATTATCGTATAATCTTAACGTAATTTAGAAATAAATGTTGTTGCTAGTAGAGAGGATTTGATTGTGTTTTGTACTCAACAGATCGTTACCAGTTTCAGATTGAATACCTACGCATTGATACTAATTATAGATAAATCGTAATGGTTGCAAACTGTTATATTAGATACTCGTAATAAATCAGTCACTCATTTTATAAAGTAAGCAATTTTTTCACAATGACTCGAGCTCAAAACATCAAGTGATATTTCGCGATCTATGAAAAATATACTTTAGGTGTGCCTAACAATGTGAATTACTTGTAAAAATCATTTATTAATTCAAATTCTAATGGAAAAGCTAGATTACAGTACAAAAAGGGAATATCAATTAAAATTAAAAAAATATTTACCAACGTTTGCTGCATTTACGGAATAATAACACCTAACTATAGAAATCTAACACTAGAAGATACCAAAACAAACCAAATACTTATACCTTCAATACAAAAATTAAAGTTGTAATTATCTTCTAAATCGGAAAGAGAGCCATTTTATTCAAGAATGATTGACAGAAAGGGAGAATTTATGTGTATATTTCACAATTAGGTTTTAACGTCCTCTGGTTGCACAATAATTCCCTTTTAATCCCCTTCTAGATATTAATTGATTCTACTGTAAAACGTGTGTTCAATTTAATAGTTCGCACTCGAATTTTTTAAATTGGAGTTTTCTAATTGCGACTTTCCTGATGAATTCCGCACAGATTTACTTAGCGACGAAAACTACGTGATTATTCCTTTGTTGCGTGCTTAACCACAAATGCTCAAATCTTCCCTAAAACAAATCCCATCCGTCTCTTATTAACAAAAGAACGCCTACAAAATGGCTTCTATTAACGCTATTAATCATCATTAATTCGTTTGCTTAATTTGCACCCTACGCATCAAATAAAAGCTAAGGTATTAAATAACTATCCGTCTTGCACTTTGGCGTCAGGAAGGGGAAAACCACCATGCAAGGAATTGCAAACCCTGGTAGAGACACAAAAAGCAGCCAACACATCGTACCCGCAAGGTCTGGCCAAGGAAAGCTATCCTGAGGGAACTAAAGCAAATGGAGGTGATACATCCCTACCTGGCCCAAATGTTACACAACTATCTTCAAAATAGCAAAGTTATAGCAACCAACCCAGAGGGCAAAAAAGTTCATTTCAACCGCTGGGGTACAACAGGGCCCCGTGCTAAGTCCTGTGTTATGGAACGTCCCACACGAGGGCGCTCTCAGGGTCAGGGTGCCAGAAGGCACAATGATAGTAGGGTTTGCTGACGACCTAATCAAGGACAGAGGTTTGGAGCGCGCCCCTCACAAAACTACTAAGAACTATTGAGCTCATACGGAAATGGATAGAGGATAGAATTCTTAAGCTCGTCCAAGAGAAGACACAGATAGCATTGCCAACTGAGCGGATACTAGCAGTCATACTGCATAAAAACGGTATGGGTCAAAGAGGGCAGGAGCAAAGTATCTAATATCGCTACTAGATTGAACTGACTGGTTTTTCTGGTAAAAGGGATGTCTTCCTCATGCATAAAGACCTTATATATCCAGACTGTGTGACCAGCCATCTTGTACGCAACATTGTGTAGGGGTAAGGCACACGATACCAGGGTACAGAATCAACTAAACTTTCTTCTTCTTCATCTCTATTCTGCGTATGCTAAAAGAAACGGTTCCATTACGCAACTATATCCGGAGGCAAATCACAGTAAGAAATTTTGATGTAGTCACACCTTGGATCACAACCTTCAGAATACCTACACATATTGATCCTCGTCTCCACCACACAAGGCAAATAAATTCATACCTATTTACTATGAAAATGTCGATTAACAGATACTAATACGAACTAAAACGAAAGAATGGGTTACTTGAGTCAGCGGAGAGGGATCTCAAAATTCACGTTTAAAGTTCAGTTGTTGTTTTCCTTTTGCAATGGCTGGCCGTCTTGGTTACAATTCCAATGCAGTACGTAATTTCCTTTCGCTAAATTACTAGCTTTCGCTATGGGGACGGCCAAAACGCATACTAAAATTCTTTAAAATGCTACTGAAACGTATTAGTATAACTATCACGTGGTGATTAATGATTTCATAAATAAAAACCAAACATTGTTCAGGTGTGTGGATCATACATATTTATACGAAACACACCTGAAACTCGGTCGACAACAAACTGACTCAGGCCTTGAAGAAGGCGACATTTTTTTCAATTCACTCTCGTTACTATTTTAAAGTGAGATGACCTAGCCAGAAAAAGATTACGGAAATGTAATCCCATCGAAGAAAAATCGAAAATTTTCAGTTTTTACCGTGCGAACTAATAAAAAGGTTGCATCATAAAATATTTCGTCTAGGTACTTCATTATGCAGAATCGTAAGTAGCAAGGTCGTTCTTGCACGCACAAATTTCTAACCCACCTGTTATGCGCCTACTTCTTGAATAAATTATTGGATCTCGTCTGTGTTTACGTTTCCTTTCATTTATATACATACGCCCGTTGACTTAGGCAAAATAATATTATACCAGCTTTAATCGGAAGCGAAGCTCTTTGTTATAAGAACTTGGACCTTTTACTCAATTTTTAGTACCTACTCCTTAACTTAATTATGCGTAAATATATTTAATACGAGAAGGCCTACATTTATGAGTGGATTTAATCAGTATTAGATTGTGTCCCGTGCGTATAGGATTTAGTGCAACTCTACTGAACTCCGGTATTAGAATTAGAGTCCTGGGTAGCCTCTCACGACCTAAACTTTTCAGTAAGTACCCAAACACGAACTTCGAACTCTTGTTTGTCAGTTAAATTAAAAAGAAGCGACAGAGTAATAGTTTTCGATTGCTGTCCAAAGTTAGTGTCTACGTAATTAGTTTCAAGATATACAGGAGGAGTTATATGAAGTCGTTCTAACCCCCACCAATATCAGCCACACAATCATTGGGTTCCTTCCGCTTCTACTTCGACTTTTCAACCTCCGTTACAAGATTTCAATACAGAATTAAACATTCAGCCCTCTGATGTATCAGAAACGTTAAACTTAACGTGCAGGATATCTGCCGAAAAAACGTTATTTTGCGTTATTTAGCATAGGCACTCTGACGTTTTTGATAGATAACCTGCAAGTTTAACGTTAGTGATACATCATAGGGCTGATTATCTACTTTGCCTCCGAAAATAACTATCCCACACATGAATAGTGAAGCTGTCTCTCTGTGACCTCCGATGTAATCGACATAGAGGACCAGAAAGCAATGACATTTTAATCACATCATCCTCATCTGTAACTACAATAACACATTAACAGTTTCCTTTCAAAAACAGAATCGTACAAAAACAACTTCCAAACCTCAAAATTCCTTGTTGTCTAGTGGTTTGTAACAAACAATTATTTTATGATCATTCAGCTGTGACATTCAATGACTAATTACACAATCATACTTTAAAATATCTCTCTTATTGCCGGCTCTCATACTATTTGTTTATGCAGATCCTCTGCTGAACGTTGTTGCAATCAAATTTATTACCGTTTCTCGTTTTGAGCGAATGACAATGATCGATAGCTTAATGCCGGTTATTATGTAAATGTCGTATTATGAAAGACATTACTTAAAATTATTTCAAAAATGTATTTTTCTACAACTGTCAAAAAAACCTGTCATTTTCTGACGGATTTCGAAACGCGAAGTACTAGATTATTAATCGGTTAATTAATAAGTAAGGTTGCTCTTGACAACGTGCGCGAAATCGTCAACAGTGAAAAAAAGTATTTCGCGCACGGGACAAAGTTGAACTTAAACAGCAATTTAATTAACAATCGGTTCAGTTGTAGAAAAAATATTGTATATAACGCTAGCGCGAAGTTATTTCGCGCATTTGACTGATATTTTAACTCGGCTTCGCCTCGTCAGAATACCTTCAGTCTCAATGCGCGAAATTGAACTTCGCGCTCTTGTTATATAAATAACTATTTTCTACGAAAGTGATGAAAGTCTTGTTTTCTGAGAAAAAAGTAGCCTTTGAAAGTAGGGTTTTGTCGCACTAGTGTGGAAAAATTTTTCCACACTTATTTTCCACACTCTTAAGTAAAAACAAAGATACCTTTTTTTTATTTTAATGCCACAATTTACAATTACAGCTACTTCTGGCTAGTAATATTTAAATTAATGGTAAATGATGAACAGTTACTTATATTAACACCTGGAAGTAACGAATTTGACACAGAGCATTTAGAAGTTATTAATGTAGATGTGGACGCTGTCGAAGATGTGCAAGGATCATCTGGTTGACATGTCGAAGGTGTGCAAGGATCATTTGATTGACAAGCATTACCAATTATTTTGTTACATACTTCTAATTTGCCTTGAAGAGAACCATCTACGTATCCTTCCGCTACCGTCGACGACCGCCAGCCCCCATGACGTTTAAGGCCGGATGTCCACCGAATCGGGGCGACGAAGATCGGTCCAACTGTAGTCGTATCCAGATTGATCGGGCCGACTAAAATTGGCAATTCATGTCCATAGGAAGATCGCCTTTCGAACGATTTTTATCGGGTTGACAGTTAACATTAAATAAAATGTCAAGTGAAGCAGTTGTCATGCTTTTGCACCACAGGCGAAAGATAATTCGCCGCCACAGTTATTGGCTTCTTCGGTACATAACTAATAAAAGAAACAGAGGTGCTTTCATTTGTGCCCATGAACTTGCGAATCATGAACACAAATTTAAATGTACGTATCGTATGTCCAAGAGTAGTTTTTTCCTTTGGCTGACATTGCTCGGTCATTAATTGCCAAAAGGGACACCAATTACAGAAGATGTGTGACGGTAGAAAAAAGATTACCAGCACTTTTGATTATTATGACATACGACTGCCGACAAATGATCGTTCAAGAACGTCGGGTCGGGCGAAAATAGTCGGTTGCGATTTCGATCGGTCCCGACAAAAAACGAGCCGGTGGACAGACTTCAATAGGAGCGCACGCGCGCGATCTTTATCGGGGAATTCAAATCGCACCGATCTTGGTCGTTCCGATGCGGTGGACATCCGGCCTTAGACTCAAAAGGTCTGCTCCAGCATTAGCAAGTAGCGTTGCGGAGGTACGCCGAAAACAATGACCCGTAAAACTAGAAGCATTTGGCAATTTCAGGTAACTCGCAATTTTCTTAGGAATTGCTCCAAATGTATTAATACCCACAGGTTGTACGGTACATTTTCCCATTTTATAATTTAAAAAAAGTCGCGAAGTTTGAGCATTTTGAGGACGAAGCGCTTTATATTTCTGGTACAAGTGTATCCAATTCTCTTTTCCCTCCGTAACAGAAAAAGTTCTTGGAACATGCGTTTTGGAGTCTGGAATCGTTACGAGTAAAAACGTATCTTCGCCTTGGATATCGTTCACCGTCATTTTCGTCAACTCCTCTCGACGACAAGCCCCAGCAACTCCTAATATTAGAGCAACCTACAAATAAATTTCATTATTTGTGTGACATATAACAAATGTATAGACATGAAAAAATAGTAGGTAAGTATAGGTGCTTACTTTCATCATTAAAAATGTTTCATCGGGTGCTTCCTCTAAAAACGTACTGATTTGTTGCCTCGTAAAAGTCAGCGATTTTTTCGGCTTGTGACCAACAGATTTACGTTTCAAAAACGATTGTAACTTGGCATACTTGGAAATGTCGACGTTGTCTTGCAAAATCAACATACTTTTCAACATGGAATACATTGACCACAGTGTCGATGATTTCAATTTTCCAGATTTTTCGACAAAATAGGCAAGCAACATGGTTTCTGTATACCGCTTGACTTGTTTCATTTTACACCAATTAAAAAACCTCTCTCGTTCTTTTTCGTACCGATTTCTCGATTTTTCAGGCAAAAGCTCAGGCATAATTGATTCCGCCATTGCAGCAACCTCAGGCGGAGTGCACATAAATTCATCGCCGCTCTCACTTTCTTCATGAACACTCATTTTCAGCTTTTAAATTCTTGTTTTACTGAAGAAATTGCTTCGTACAAAACTACATGCAAAATTACTAACCGGCTTTTTTATAAACAACTCGTTGGTAACTAAGACAACGTAGCGGCGTCACGAAGACTTGATTTTATATTTTTACAGATAAACACGAGAATCGTACTACGACTTGATTTATACAGAAATTGTTGTTTTAACATTTTGATATAAAATTTTTCTCTAAATCTTTAAATTCGAGAACTTTCGTAGAAAAAATAGTATGTAATACACTTGCGGAAAGGATTATTGAAAAACTTGTATGATTGGAGCACTCGCTAACGCTCGTGCTCCAACTTTCATACGCGTTTTTTAATAAAGCCCTTTCCGCACTTGTATTACAATATACTATTCTATACGTCTAGCATAAATAGGTATAAACTAGCTTACAATAAAAGCTCTTACTCCATGTTCAAAGTTCGGATGCAAATTAAAAAAATCCTTAGAAGAGAAACAAACAGATAGGTACTCGTTACATATTAATACGAAACTTCGTTGTCTGTTATTCGTCGGAATTATAGGTAGTTACTTATTGTAGCAAACTGCAAATTACATTACAAAAGTGTCTGTATTGTACTTCAAATTATATATGCCGATATAGTGGTGTTGAATTCGATCGGATGAATGTAGCGCAAAAAACCGTAGTACGGGATTAACATAAAACATTACCTTACCTCTTGGTTGGAAAACACATGAAAATGATGAAGTGGGAGACTTACCTAAAAAGAAAAAAGATGCATTAGTGATTTGATAGATTGTGCTGTACAATTATTTATTTAAGTTTATTCAGAACCGCTTAGAAAATAGTGTGGGCCCAATAAGCACAGTTTTAATAACGTAAAACTGTTATTTGACAACACGAATTATCAAGAGAAAAGCCATTAGTCAAAATCAGTAAAACTGACAGACTACTCACTTCAGTTAGTAATTTAACAAATAAATTAAAGATGTGTGCTTTATGCAAGATCCATGAAGGTGAAATGGGGAAAATTCCGTACATCTGTGATGGCCGAGACCGCAATATAGGAATAGGCACTTTGAAGCCCAACCGCAATTTAGCGATCAAGACAACAATTTATTCTACTTCAAGCATTCACCATTCACGATTGTAAAAAAATTAATTTCAGACTGGTAACAATTCCACTGAACCCGCTGTCTTGTTCAGTTATGAAAATTGTTGCTTTTACTTGCAAATTGCCAAAAGAAGCAAATTTGCGTGGTAACTGAATTAGAAGTTCAACTTTTGGCAGACTTACTGGAAAAGTTTTACAGGTGGGTCTCTCCTATAAAGCGAGTAGTCATCAAAGACAAGGTGGTTAACCTTGCCGTCAAGGTGATTTTCTCCCTCAAGCCATACTGATTTTGCTTTCTGGTATTTGTTCAACGCGTTAATAGTCTACGAAACGTGATGCAAACGTGTAACAATGAAGCGCAGACACCACGCCGATCAAATTTCGCATCTTCCCTACGCTTAATGTTCATGGAATAAAAAATATTTAAATTGGGAACTTGACATTGCCAAACATAAATCGTTGTCAAAGCTGTACGGATTCGTTCGATGACCCGAAACGTAAAGGGTCCTGGAAAACTTTACGATTTGTACAAATATAGTATGGCGGCACAATTGTGGATCAAATGCAATTTTAGGGGGCGACATTTAGTATGTATGCGGATATGGATACTTCGAAACTGTTGGCATTTTGAGAATCCTATTCCTTAACACTTGTGTGCGCATATCAAATGATGGAATTAATTAAGAGCGACGACGTAGAATGGAAATAGGGCGGTGAAGTTAACTTTTATTTGATGTCGCGAATATGCAACTTGACAATTGAAATTAAATGTTTTATTCTTATTTTGAAAGAATGTTCCCAAGTTTGAATGGTGAAATTACTTTGCACACAATGTATGCAATCATGTTTTACTTTGCTCCATCTACTATATTAAACTCCGAAAATGCAATAATATAAGAGCATTTCTATTTAAGGAAAAAGTATTTATTCTGCCACGGTCTTTAGGTGCACCACCTACGTTTTGTGTGAAATACGCAATCCAAAAACAAAATCGGCGGCTCCGAACGTATTCCCGAATACACCTCCAATCAAGTGATCCGTTAATAAATCACAACCCTGTATACGACTTTACCGAAATCTATTCGTAATAATTTCCAATACAAGAAACGACTCAGTTCGCCTTTGGACACCCAGGGACGGACCTAGACAAAAAAATTGGGGGGGCCGACATGACATTTTGCCAACTCAACTGTAAAAATTTCCAACTCAAACGGGTAGTATCTATTAAGTATCCAAGTCTAATCAATCATGTAGAAAATGTAGGATATCAGTATATGGTCTCTAATACTAATTAAAAGCATTACCAAAACACCAACCTTGTGTTGAAGAAGAATGAAGTGACTTTCCTATTAAAGAGTCCTTTTTTTTATAGATTTTGCCGCAATTCCTCATTCCTTCAATAGTCGATTTATTACATTTACGATTTACCTACTTTCGCGGCATTCGGATTCGCCAACTGGTAATGAACATGACCAACTCTTGTCACCCCCCCCCCCCCCATAGGTCCGTCACTGTGGACACCGTGTATACCACGGTATTATTAAAACTTTAGCAATGAACTTACGAATGTATAACTTTAATACGACAGCAAAAGAACGCGTTCTCCATTTTATTTAGTTTAAACTACAAGAAAATAATTATGTTCCCACTGCAAGACACTCAAAGGAATTGAAATTTAAATAGCGATTGCAACAGTCTTTGTTTTGTAATAAAAGGGCGAAACTTTCCTTCGTTTAATAGCGTTTTGAAATTGTGAACTAAAACTGTACAGAAATAAAATGAATTATCGTTTGCCGTCGGCTAGCTTATTCTCCACTACATTTTTCACTTTTTTTGTGGTTTTGCTTACTGTAGAGGTTTCCCTTTGCTTCTCTGAAGCTTACTACAACCAAAAGTATAACATTTTGCAACTCTTTTCTACCTCGCCAGCAAAAGAACAAAACCAAATGGTCACTAAATGTATATTGCAGGTAATTTCAAATGCAAATATTTTTCCACAATTAACTTTCCTTTAGTAAAATAAATACTTTTTTTTAAACGTAATCTAATTTGAAATGACATCTCATTTTTTAAATATAAATAACCTAAATCTGAACCAATACATAGATATTATCTAGATACAAACATAATAGTATATTAAGATACAAGTGTATAATCAAGTCTTTAAAGCACGCGCAACGAGTTTTAACGTTGCAAGTGCTTTAAAGACCAATTATACACGTGTATCTTATAGTATTTTTTATTATACCTGCAGTATAATTTAAAAATAGGAATTACAATGAAATCATATTGACGTTATACTCGAATACATGTCTAATTAAGTGGGCTGGGTGTTCGTAATTTCACGATTGCCATGGAAATGTCACTTGACGTTTGCTTAAAAAATCATCGTCTTTGTGAATTAAACGATTTCCGTTGAAAAAGATAATACACCGTCCATTAAATCGATTGTTGTAAAATCTAAACAAACGTTGGTAGGTGTAAAATCCAACTCCAGTAAAACCTATTAGAATATGAAAAGTTGTTTCCATGGATGAATAGGAAGTTACTTACGAATACAGCCTTAAATGCATCCATAATGCTGGCATATATGAAGGAAATGTCAAAGGTATTTAAATCTTCTATATTTTGGTGCATTCATTCAAAACTTTAAAGCAATGCTACGATTAAAAAGTGGAACAGATTTGGGAGCATACCCTAAATTACGCGCGGTTGTGAAAGCTTCAACCAAAGGATAGGTACAAAAGCCAAAGAAATGTTCTGCATTTACAGAAAGCGACCTAAGAGGATTTTTATTTCATCCAGATGACAGTTTCAAAAGTCCTACTTGAAGTATCGTTACTTAGCAACTTTAAAGCACGTGTGTTTTAAAGGCCCTTTTTCGCACGCATTTGAGTGTTTAAAACGGAGATTGTGATTCAGGTATAATAAAAACAATTTTTTTTATTTACTTAAATTTTTATCGAACGGCGGTGAATTAACCCTTAAATTTTTTAACGAAAACGAAACATGAATCTACACTAAATTCAATGGGATCTTCAATTTACACATTATTATTTATATAAATTGATTAAATCCTATAAGATTAAGTAAAGCTTTATTTTTGCTTTAACGTATAAAGGCATTCAATGCTTACGTTGAATATGGGCAGTTTTATGGTGGGTTTATACAATCATTAGCATTAGTTCACTATCGTTAGGTCATTACGAAATAGCCAATGGAAACAAATATATAGTTTCGTTGGTTAGCGACGCACAATAAACCTTTGATCCTATTGACTATTTCTTAATGATCTTATGGTAGCGGCGATTTACATTTCACCACTTTAGATGATTTAAATATAGGCACATAAACAATCCTTTTGTGCAGGTACATTAAAAAAAAGTAACTTCTCCGATTAATAACTTGACGGAAAACTTTACACGACAAATTTTACTATTCCTGAACTGCCCTTGTGATTTGAACCAATTTTTGACACTGAAAATATAAATTCCGTTTTTATTGAAGACACGTTACAAATAAAAATGTATATAATGAATAACGACTTAAGTCCTGAAACAAACTATTCACAAAAAAGATGAACGACCCATAACGGAAATCTAAGTTTAAGATCATTGTCAATTGAACATGTACGATTTTCCAATAAAGTGCTTAAAGCTCCATCTTTAGTTTCAAAATGACTCACGTGCCTATAAGACGTTGCATTCAACAGTACGAAATTAATAGGTCTCGTAGAGCACACGCCTTACTAAACACCAAACTGCAATTCTAAGCTTATTGTTGTTCCCTCCATCAATGATGTCTGACGATCATATTAATAATGTATTGTGTAATGGAGTAAGAATATTAAATGATTGATTTAAGCATGACGTTAACAATTAATTGACTGATTAAGTAAAGCGTTGCGTGCAGTCATTATTAATCGAAATGTAGTAGATAGGTACAGGTAGGTGTTAAGTTGTAAATAAAGTTTTTAAGTTATCTTCAAGAGTGGTTCTTTTCCCTAAATGTCCTCTCCACCCAGGGAGAACATTACAACCCTTGCTTCTATACCTTTATGAATTTCCATTGTACAATAATTCGATTTAATACACTTATAGTGCTGTAAAAAGTTTGTTGTGTGTAATATATTTATGTTTACCTACAAGTACTACACAAACACAAAATTTGTAATTAGAATAAACCAATGTTGTAATAACCCTAAACATGGCAGGAATACACAAAACTGATGTAACGTATGCAATTATTGGCTAACTTTAATTAAACCAAACAGATATTGATAATTTAGAAATTCATTGTTATTAATACAAAAAAAATAGATTGTGAAACGTACGCATAATACTGAAAATACATTAAATCATTTGCTTTTAATTTTCGTTTTAATCATTACAACAAACTCGTGAAAAGTAATGTTGTATAACAACAAGGATCAGTTTAAGAAATATTTGGTTATTTCTCCAGCAGCTTGTTTATTTTCAAGTCATTTCAAGATATTTGGTCGAAGTGTGTCCAAAATGTCAATGAATGAAGAATAGAATAATTGATGTAATTAGTTAATAAAGAGATTTTGTTTCTTTTTGAAAAATTTTCTTGAATAAGGGTACTCAACATATTAAATCATCGAACAGAGAAAAAAATCTCCACCAATAATGAGCCTAATGAAAAGGTACCAATTTAAAGAATTCAATTGTTTTTCGCTACTCATTTGTTATCTGAAATTAAAACAACTGAATGCTGGCTTATTATCGGAAATAATAGTACATTATATATCAAGGTAGAGAAGTACAGTATTATTGCCTGAGCACCAAGATTACATCTCGAGGCGCTTGCGCCGAGGGGTGTAAGGTGCGAAGGCAATAATAGACTTCTCTACCGTGGTATATATACTATTTTTTTCACTACTAGCACTTGAAATCCTCTAAATTAACATATTATATTGATAAGAAAGTGAACGGTTGGACAGAATTTTTTGTTTCTTAATTTAACATGTCAATCAAGTACGTGGAAGTACAAGTCAAACAGGCCGTATTTTGTTCTGTCATTGAGATTTTTCAAAGAGTAATTTCGTTCGAATTTTTTCAAAATGTGATAATTTTAGGTATGTAATTTCTCTGGAAATTGCGAATGGTGGCAATTATTCGTTTTAGAGAACTTGTCTAAACGTTCATTGAGCGAAATTTCGGGTTGATTTTCTAAAAGTGACAGCGTGACAGTTCTCATTATTGACTACTAGTTAATAATAAAAAATTATTAACCACTTTGAACAAATGCCGAAAAAGCCTACTTTACAAGTGGAAAAAAGGTTAATAATCATGTCATCAGACGCTAGTAGTGAAAAAAATAGTAAACAAATGTTATATGTGGAACAACAGGCGTTACTTACCGAGATATATACTATTAATATTCCACACATAGTGGGCACCCTGTACAATTGTGATAAAATATTATTCATCACCAAACAACAGTATTTTCTTAATGGATTATGTAACAAAGATTACATAGCTGACAGTAATACCAACAGTTCCATTAACAGCTTACTGTGATAGAAGCACAAAGTCCTCGTTTTGACAACACGAAATTATTTGTATACTTGCCCTACCATACAAGGAATCAAGAATAACATTTATTAATGAACCAAAAATGTGATTACCTAACAATCAATCTACTTTGTCATAGTAATCAATTACTTATGGTAATAATGGTCTTAGTTTTTTTAGTACAACTAAAACAAATGGTGAATTTTCTAATACGCCACATTTGTTTACCATAAGTCGTGTTGATCTCTGTCTCTGTCAATGAAATGCAAATATTAAGGAAACCTGTTAATTGGTCATGCATAAATAGAAGAACTGCGTCTCTAATATTTCCAAACAGCGGAGTTAATTAGTGTTATTTATATGAATAGGTTTGGTACTCGGTAGTGCAATTTTTAACTATTTATTATTAGAAAACAAATAATGGTTGACTTTCTAGGCTTAACAATTACAAATATTGAAAGTAATAGTAGCTTCTTATACGTACTCTTTCATTATGTAAACCATTAATGTGAATCGCGTATTTACAAAAATGAGATTGTTTACGGTTTTGTTGTTGTCTTTAATTACGTGAGATGACTACAAATTATTTCAATTCCGGGTTACACATATATGAGCTAATTGGAAGATGTCAATAAATAAATATAGGTACTTTGCATCGACTTTTAACCTGAGGTGGTGAAGTCCTCTATAAGAGTAGGTACACCACAACACAGCCCAAGAGTTTCGTAAATTACGACCGTCGGGATGATATTATTAAAACATTTTCTACAGTTTGTAGATATCGGTCGATCACAATTAATGAGTGACTATCGAGTCAACTTTGGAAGTTCAAGTTAAGTACCATTTTCCATGTAAACTCGACTCGACAGCAACTCATTTTTGCATTATATACCTACAATTAGTGGATGAAAAAATCTCATTCGCTACTACTTGGAAGACGCATTTGTTGCGTGACGGGGACACAGGGTAGTTGGACGGCTCTTCGCGCGTTGTACTGTTACCACCGTAAATCGTAAATGGTTGTACCCTTTAGAGCCGTTGCACATTTATATCTGAGACATAATTATAAGTACCGTAAATTTAATTAACATTAAAATGAGAGAGGGACGATCTATGAAATCAATCAATCCCCCAATCCTTCTCCACCCTGTTTATTTCATGCTATTTTAAATTTCTCTACACTTCCTACAATTTTACCCCTTTCAATAATATATTCCATACATAGTGGACACCCTGTACGAGAATATACTCTCTCTATCGAGATATGTACAGAATTTACAAATCTATCTAGGAATTTGGAAATGCATCTAATAATTTACAATTCCCTGTATAATTTATCAATATTATTTTTTCAATCCTGTAACTGGTAGTGTAAAATGATGGGCATATATTCACAAAAGTGCCACCCCAAATAGACCTGTAAATTAAAGAAAATAATTGCGAATCTGTAAATTTTCAGAAATATCCATAAATTCCTACAACTCTTTAGATTTTGCAGCTTGTAAAATCATAAGATCATTTTACTTTCCTCCTTCACGTAATCCTAGTACGCAAACTTCGCTTCGCCAATGAATATACATAAGATATGATAATTCAATACCCTATTTCCTAAGTTAGTACATACAATTGTTTAGAGATTAGATTAGATTCGAATTTTCAATATTCTTTTAAATCAAGTGCAAATACAATTATGCATTACTAGTATAGTGACATACATGTAACTTGAACGAAATAAGAGGAAGAACTCCAGTCCACGAGCAAGCGACTGAATCTCCCTAAACCTACGTGGATGTCACTAACAGAAGACATCATTTCTTTCAGCTTATAGCGTAGTAAAACAAAACACAAAAGGACCTTGGAATTGACCATTTCTAAATCAATCCGCTCCACTTCGAATCAATTCGATGCAAATTTTCATGCGTAAGGAAACGAATATAAAAATGTACCAAGACCGTATGTAAATAAACACACATTCCACCTTCATAAATACCTTAAATGTAATAATTAAAGTGATAATGTTATTATAATATCATATTTCTGCACGTGAATTCCGTCGAGGCACGTTTCCCTCCGTCACGTGCAAGAAGTTCTACCACGCAAATATTGACAACTTTCCTTATAAAAACCCCATTTTACGTTTGAGATCAAGCGTACCTACGAACACCATTTTTACATAATTTCTACAAAATGAACGCAATACTGTTTTAAGGAATTTTAAGCGGTTTATTACTTTCACTTCGCCGAATTATGCTATAAATTTTCATTGCCGAAATCACTTTTTTCGTCCATATGGTTTATACCGATAGATCAGTTATTGATGCGAAGACCTAATTGTGGTAATTAATCGAATGTCCACTAATAAGGTCTGGTATCATCAAGAAAAACGTTCAAATGGTAGTGTGAGTGTCCAATGTCATTGGGAAAGCCTTCTACAGGTCTTGGTGATTGCAATGCTATACCACAAGAAGTGGAACAACTTCAGTCCGTGCTTAGCCGGTCTGTAGAACGTTTGTACAGTTAGTTCACGAAGTGTGCCAGCAGGTACTAAAATTACGTGTGTAGAAGACGTTTATATCTCAGTAATTAAGCTATTTGTTGAATCTGTGCTTTTGCTTTCGAAAACAATAAGCGTTGAAAAAACGTGATCGTGATTTCTAATTTTATTAATCCGGAGTAAAATTTAAATGCACGAAATCGTCTAAAAGCATGAAGCAGTTTATTAGAGCTCCTCCACATTTGCCACCAAAAACGCGCATTTCCCCACCTGATGCAACAACGGTACTCAACAGCACCGCTGCAGAAGTCTTCAGCTACAAATTCCAGGAAGTCGAAGAAAGCCATTCGAATATTTCAAGTTCGAGTGTCGGTAACGGGAATCATGTTGTTAAAATTCATATCAACCCCCAGGAAAATATATCGTTAATTCGCGAGCAACCCGAAAGTGTCTTGTGTACTTTATCCCCTTGTGTACGGATCAGTGTTAATACCGATACCGATATGATTCAGAGCAATTCGCTGCCGGAGAGTTTTATAAAAACACCCGGGGACCGTAACAACCCTTACTTCTTTTGTGGCTCCTTTATGTCGAGTGGTCAGGTATCGCCAAGCGACACCCTCGATTCGGGCACATGTAGCGACTTGGACGGCACGCCACCCCCTTTACCCAAAAAGAAGAACTCGGGGGTTACCGTAACGGTAATCGGGGCGCAACACAAACGCCCTTCAAGTCTGACAAGCAGCGGTGCTGACGTCGATAGCGACGATAACGAAAGTAATATTAGCTGCGATTCACTAAATAGCGGAGAATTACCGGCGGAAATAGTTTCATCTCGTCCAACTTCTTTGGAACTAGAATCGCCCACTCGCGTCAAAAAGGCCAACGCATTCTTACCTCAAGGACTTCTGCAGGACATACGCGATAGATCCGTGAAGCTGTCACAAATTGCCGTTGATGATTTGGACCGACAAATGACTCAAACCTGTTTAGAAACTTGCTCCGTTTACGAAACTCCAGCATCCCCTAAAGCTATAATCGATGAAAGTACATACGAGGATCGCAAACAACACGAAAAGGAACAAAAAGATAACGCGACTTTAATTAATAGTTTGACCTACGATGCGGATCGCTTCTATAATTTTCATTTAAACGAACACGTTGAGGAAGACAAGGACATAGTTCCGATTAGAAAAGTAACTGAAGATGAGAGTTTTGCCGGTTACAGGGACATACTTGGTGCTGACGGTTCATCCACAATTCGTAGCGCCAAAGGAACGGTGCGCGGCGTTAAGAATCGTGTAAGGGCTGGAATTGCGACGTTTCTTCACATAAATTCGGTGACAAAGGTAAGAAAGTGAATTATCGCCGATTTTTTTGTTCAACATTTGCAATTTTGATGATTGTGACCTGCTTTCTCTTACAATCGACGCACCTGCATTGTCGGTCTCAAATTCCATCGGTTAATACGTTTATTTATCAGAAATTTTACCAATGACCCTATTTACCACTTGCTGCGCAATAAAATAACGGCCGGGCGTGCCGAAGGACCTGACGAAGTAATAATCTTTGTTCTTTAAGCAAGTAAATACTGAACCTGATGGTAAAATAACAACACACTCTTATGTAACAAAATAAAATAAATAAGTTATCAACAATTGATCTCGCGAGATAACAAAATAAAATAAATAAGTTATCAACAATTGATCTCGCGAGATGATTTCCAATGAAGAAATTCCTATGTGAGCCAGTCGAAAATGTCATTCAATAATATTTCTCATTTTCTGGCAATTACGTTCGGTATATACCTTAACTCGTCTTCATTCTGGATGCACGTCTCGCGAATCTGTTCACCAATAAAAGTTTCTCTCGTCATTTCGCACAACCAGTCCGAGATTTTAGGGACTGTTACGCGGTACTTTTCGGTTTTATGTAATGGAAAATTAAATTTTACTACCCGTGTTTTATGGGAAAAGTCGAGTTTAGTTTCAGGAGGTGATCCCCTGTTATTTTCTAAAAATGCTTCTTTTGTTTGAGTTTGCGAGTTGTTGACTTAATAAATGGCGTTTTGAATGGCACTTAAAACACCGAAACAGTGTATGCTGCCACTTTCTTATACAATTATTATAATGCGAATTCTTGGCTATATACATAATATTCACGCGATTACAGTTTCTTCGCGTTGTCGAAATGTTACCGCATTCTTGGAAACGTAAAGATACAGATAAGTTAATAAAAATTAGAACATCAATGAAATTACTTGAAAAGTAATTACTTGAAGTAGGATTATTCTAAGATATCTCGGGAAATGTGAGCAAATCCGCAAAGGTTATAGATGAAATCCACGGATATTTTTCGATACGCACGGTACGCCCACTGGGCCATTTATATACCATCGCTAGCTATCGTTAGTCAAAGTTTCGAATTTGCAAAAAGTAACAAAATCGAAAAGGTGGAACGGATTAGACAAATAAACATGGATAAAATGAAATATAGACTTTCTCTTGGCCAACGGAGAAAAGTCCGTACTAGAGTATCAAAGTTACGGGAATCTTAGCAATCCTTGCCTATAAATATCAGACCACGCGAGGTTCCAAGTAGATCCGACAAAATTCTGGTGAAATTCCAGGAAATTCCAAAGAAATCTTTGATTCTTCGGAAAGGTCACATGTTTTGAATCCTAATATTCGCCGTCAGTGCTAATGCTACCCCCCTAAGTGTCCGACTACTTCCTGGATAGGTAATACAGTGAGTTTCCCTAACAAAGAGGCGCGATTCATCTTTATCTTGGACGCGAAATTTTGTGGGGAAGACTAATGATTGCTAATGTTATCAGAAGTGAATTTCCCGCGAGTAAATAACACCGATGGCAAGAGTTTAATCGAAAATTTCTGGGGTAATTTTTCTTTAATTCTATACGCACGGGTACTCAGCTTCTATTAGGTCTGTTTGTGATTGGTACCTAGCTTAGGAATTATCAAGATCTATATGGATGGTTTGCAGTTTGCTATTAACTCTTTTGAGAACATCACGGAAACAGCTAGTTGTTCTCCTAATCCCGTATGTTAGTGTGAATGATTTCGGATCCACTTTTGGTTTCATTTTTTTTTCATCTCGTTTCTAATCGAATTCGAATAGATTTCACACCTCCCTATATTTAAATCAATCTAAACCATTTCTTGATACAAACCGAGTACGAACTAGATATGGACAAAAAAAAACTATGTATTTGATGAAGTTTAACCTTTTTTGAACAAAAGCCATTTAATAATTATACCTAATTTGAACTCCTTGGATACCTAGGTACGTAATGCAGTGTAGATTAAACATAATATGCAGCAAGTATTTAAAAACTCTCAAATTATCAGTCTCGAAAAAGTGAAAACATCAAATTGATGTATGTGTTTTTTTATTCGTTTTTTATGGTTCCGTAAATAAATCCGACTAACAATTATGGCACAAAATCATTTTAGATAGAGAAATGTACTTAACTACAAAATATCTTTAGCTTCCAGCTCGGCTTCCAGTGTAGAATTTAGGGGGTTTTCTCATTTTAATGACATTATTACATAAAATCCTGGACAACATGTACACTTACCTATAACACCTCGACAAATTTATTTTATTGCTTAACGATCCAAGAGCAATTTCGGCACAAATTTATTCGCCCCATCAGACCTGTCTGGTTTTGGAAAATTTTGTTTGAAAGATTAATAACGAGATTAATAACCACTCCATTTTAATGCCGCACAAGCCGAAGACCTCTATTCTGCCTAGGTTTGAGCCGAACTCGCACTTGGCTCGCTTGGTACTTATTTTTGAACCCTCACTTTTGCTTGAAAGTTTAATAACAACTCTATTTTAATGCCGAGCAAGCCGAATACCCCTACTCTGCATAGGGTTGTGCCTAATTCGCCTTCGGCTCGCTCCGCACTGGTTTTGGAACTTTCACTCTTGTTTCAAAGTTGAAGAACAACTCTATTTTAATGCCCAGCGAGTCAAAGGCGAGATCGGCACAAACCTAGGCAGAGTAGAAGTTTGAGGAGGTGAGAAAATTTATGCAAACCTGTATCTTTTGTTCGAAAGTTCAATGATATATTTATGTTATTGTTTAGCTATCCACGGGCAATTTTGGGAGACATTTACTCACACTCACTAGACTAGACTAGACTAGAGGTTGGTTTTGAAACTTTTGAAAGTTTAATAACTACTCTACTATACAACTACACGCACCTAGGCAGAGTAAAAGTCTGATGGAGTGAGTAAATTTAGGCAAATCTGTAACTTTTGTTCAATAGTACAATAACAAATTAATTTTATTGCTTAGAGATCCAAGAGCAATTTCGGCACAAATTTACTCACCTCATTAGACCTCTACCCTGCCTAGGTAGGTACCGAACTCGCATTCCGCTCGCTCGGCACTTGCTTTCGAACTCATTTTAGCTTGAAAGTTTAATCACCACTATATGTATTTTAATGCCGAGCCAGCCGAAAGCGAATTCGACACAAACCTAGGCATAGTATAGAGGTTTGAGGGGGGGGGTGTAAATTTGTGCAAAACTGTAGCTTTTGTTCGAAAGTTCAATTACAAATTCATGTTATTGCTTAGCGATCCAAAAGGGAAATTTCTCCACACATTTATTCCTTCTAAGTATCAGACCCCTACCCTGGCGGGTTTTGGAACTCACTTTTGCTTGAAAGTTTAATACTCTACTTTACTGTGAAGCGAGTCAAAGGCGAGTTCGACTCATGCCTAGGCAGAGTAGAGGCAAAGAGTAAATTGTTCTTTGGTAGAGGTCTGATGGGATGGGTAAATTAGTACAAAACTGTACCTTTTGTTCGAAAGTTTAATATCATATCAAATTCAAATGCAATACACCGTAAATATAATATGTAACAATTATGCTCGCAGTTATGTATGTAAAACGAGATTATAGTCCCAAACTATCAATCTCAGAAAGGAAATAATCAAATTAATATACCCATGTGTCTTTAGATTTGTTTCTATGCTCCGCACTATATTCCCACTAATAATTAGAATTATTTATGATAAAAAGTATCCTTAGCCTCCAGCGGGCTCCAGCTTAGAATTTGGGGGACTTTCATTCGAAAAATCAAGTTTTCTCATTTTTATGACAAAATTTCAGTTCATGGACAACTAGTATACCTAATATCTCGGGAAATTGTTATAAAATAATGGGCGACTACTAAGAAGAAAATCCAAAAAAAAATGGTATCAATTCAATGAAATGCGAATAACTCAAAAACTGTTAAAGATAGATATAGGAACATGTAATACCAAAATATGCCAATTCGATTCTCAATCTAATAAGAAAATTGTCATTTCATAAAGTTTTTAGTTTTTAGTTTTTTAATTTTGGATCTCCATAGGTGCGGTCGTATGCAACTTACCTAACTCTTTTTTAAGTACACTGAGAGAAAGTCCCATTCCTTCTCTATGCACCGGTAAAAATGGGTTACCATAACTAGAACCGTTTTCGAGTAATCAATTATCAAGGTATCGTCTGCATCCGCCAGTTTTTTTCTTAAAGTCAAAATAACTTAAAAACCATAAATGACATGTGGGTACCAAAAGCACTGAAATTTCACGTAGAATCAAAAAATGCAATAAAAATAGGGGTTGTCATGTAAAATAACGAATTTACTAGCTACTTCGGGTATTTCCGGAAGTGCGACCATTTTGAAAATATTTTACACCGATTCGACCTTCAGAGTAATTCCTAAGTACAAATTTTCAAAAACCTACCTATTTCACTTTCCCAGAAACGTTTAACTAAAGCTCCCACAAGCACCCTGTATAGGTTATAAGAAGAAACCCTAATTTTGGGACTACATATTCGAGACTTAGCTTAAAAAAAATTACTCTATTCATCCATTTGGGCAACACTTCCCCCATTTCCCCAGATTTTCCGAGAGATTTCTGGAGTTTTATGACATTTCACTGCTTGTCCATATTTTATTCCTACCATTTTGTAGTAATTGCTCACATGACATTTCTAAATCTGTACTTCGTCGTGACATTTCTCTAGTATGTACAGCTGTACACGACATTTCCTTATATCCCTTCGGGTAAGACGCGTTCCTCAAAATAATTGTTTTTGCAAGCATTACAAATGAATTTATTATAAATTTGAAAAAACGAAATAGTCCTTGTTTTAGAAACGCAACGAAAAAGCTTTCAGAACTGTCGGAAATGTTTTGCTGTGTTTATAAAACGTTAATACTGGGTAGCCGAGATGTTAGAAACTTGGACCAAAGTCGCTTCAGCACGCTTCAAATATTTAACTGGCGTCAATTTTACCCAAACTTTCCGTATAATTCTTTAACGAGTAAAAAAATC